CCGGATCTCGTCATTCAGCGAGGGAAAATCACTGTCATCTCCCGCGATGAAAACCAAGCACTACCCTTACGGAAATAATGAGCTTAGCTGTTGAATGGAATAGTACGAAAATAAACGTAATCACTAATTAATCAAGTAGCTGAAAAATGAGTAAGGCAGTAGATGTCTGATACATTTCGTAGTCCTCAGGGCGCATTGTTTAGGGGTCGCGTTAAGCCAGTGGGCGCGGCGCCGGGTCTCGGTCACGTGGCGGGTCGGCGACCTGGCCTCGCCCACGGTGCGTGGGGCAGCGAGGAGCTTGGCTGTCCGCGGGCGGGTGGGCGGAGGGGGCGTGGGCTCGAGGTCGGCGCTCGACTGCGCAACGCAACAGAATGGGCCCCACGCAAGTACGCACGCAGCCGCGCCGCCTAAGCCTGACAAAGCGCAGCCAAACGCGAAAGAGAACCTTTAGCACAGCGCATGCTGATTGAATGCAAGGGCTGACATCCGCCTAGGCATCTGACTACGGTCCTGACTTTAGAGCTATTGGGGGGTCATTCTCACCACCAAAATGCCTAGAGTGTTTGTTTGTTATCTCCCTTTATTTGGAAAAATTGATTTAAATATTTATGTTGGAATTATGTAATTATTTTAAAAAATAATACTGTACTGGTATATACATACATACATATATTACAAAAATAATATACAATGTAATAACAAATATGTTTATTATTTAACAAAAATCTATGATTGCCCCGCCCAAAATGATCGGCTGGATTCGCCCGTGTCCGAGAGAGGGATCCACATCAAACTAATAAAATATAATAGCGGTCCCAGTATATGTTCAAACAAATTAATTTTTAGTTCATATATATGAAAGACGTTTTTGACTATTTTTCAAGTTTTTAGATTTACTCAAAATCATTTAATTGATATTTTAAAATATTTGGATTGCTGTAATATTATTTATTAATAAGTGGCAATTATAAAATAACAGATTAAACATTGTTAACAATATTAACAACATCGCTTCCTTTCTCATAACGATTTCCGTTCCACCGGAAGTTCGAACATTAATTTACACCAGCAACAAAGTTCGATGCACTACGACTTTCCGTGCGGATTTCGGGGCGTCGTGATCCACAAGGGAACAGCGGGCCGACAAACGCAGGCAGCATGGAGGAGAAGAGAAATTGGCGCAGATTGCGTGTCGCCCCCGCACGAGAGGCCGCCGCCAGCCGGAAGTGGCGGAAATTGGCGATCTCCTCCTCCTCCTCCGCGCGGAGCGCACGATGGCGTGCCGGGGCGCAGATGGGAATGCGCTGATAGGCCGAAGGGCAGAACAACACAATGCGGAGACTGACTGCACAAGCGCTCGTTTCCCACCTATTCCCGTAACGAACAGGCGCCGTGTTTCCATTGTGATCACATCACCTATGGTGGCGAACGCGTTGTTTACACGTTTTGCTTCCAAGTCGCAGTCCTCTATTATGACGTCGACGCCTATTTCAAAATTGCGAGTGATGTATTAGCAAAATGGTTATGCCTCGCGAATGACCGCAAGACAAAAATCCCCTCATTGTTGTAAAACAATGTGCGTTCGGTTCATCACGACCTATCTAAACACTAATTAATTGTCATTTCAAAATATTTTAGTTCTAATAATATGGGGGTAACCCTGAAAAATTATTAATTTTAAATACTCATGCTAAAACATTGTAGTACATTCTCCAGAATTGTAAATCCAAATTAATGCTAAAAATCATAAACAATATACATTTGATTTATGACGTACTACTAATATATTTATTCTGATATATATTTCTAAGAAAATTTATTGTACGTTCATTCTATTGTTTTGCCAAAAAAGTTTATTATAGTTCTGTTGATAACTACATCCATTGGCGAGTATTATTTAATTATAACTCCCTTGGAAATAACCATTTCAATTCAAAAGAGTTCGAATCTTACTGTTTTTGTTCCTCTGTGGAAAGAAATGGAAATTAAAATGTATGTCCATTACGTGATCAACCTCAAACAAGGATTAGTTTGCATTGTTATGGACAGCTCCAACTCGGAAATAAACGCACTGCAGAGAGTTCATGAATGCGCGACCCAATGTCGTTCAGAAGCATCAACCTGCATAACTACGCTCCTCCCCAGCAAGTAGGGGACTCCTCCCAGAGGGTGGATGCACGGGCGCCCTGAGAGAGGGCAGCTCGGCAACTTGCCTCTGATCCGGACTTAATTGGTGCTCTGACTTTTTTTTCATTCAAAATATATGAAAAATGTTTTTACTTCTATTTCAAATTAAACACCAATAAACGATTAGAAGAAGGTTTATGTATTAACATCTAAATAAAAAGTAATATTGTGTCCATATTTTATCATAATGTACAACAAACATAAATAACTGTTTGAAATATGATTATAAAAATATATACATTTCATTTCTTCAATAAATATTTTGAAGAAAAATATTGACTTCGCTGTAGCTGAAGTACAGTTAACTTCAAAATATAAATGGCTCTCATAAGTTTACTAACCCAGTCCTCTCGTTTTCTCTCCAAGCTTCTGAAAGGACGGAAGGGAACCTAGCGTAATTTGTTTTTTAATTAATTTAATAAAATGACATTTCAGTCTTTAATGTTTATTATTAATAACTGATTAAGAAACAAAACAATCATGCTACGATATTACTCTCGTAATATTTCCTTCTGAAGATTCAAATTGTTCGAAATTGGTCACGGACTTTGAACTTTGTAAAATGAATCCACTTATACGACGCGTATCTCTTATCCTTTTTATTTCGCGTATATGTTCATACATCGAAAAGAACGAATAAAGAAGTAGTTACTCGCTACTATCACAATAGCAACGATACCCACGAGATACACACGTTTCCAATTCAACTGCAGACGTCAAATTATTCCTCAACAGCAGCGCTTTCTCTGAGACTAATGGATTTTTTCTATTCCAACGTCTTAACGGGGTGGACGAAAGGGAAGCCGGGGCCGGAAGCAGCGAAGAGCGCGCGCGCGTGCGAGCGGCCGCGTCCCGCTTCTCACGCGGCCGAGACGCGTCGCGACGCGGCGCCTCTTCGCGCTTCTTCCTCCCCCCTCCTCTCCCCCGCGCCCTCCCTTTCTTCCTTCTGCCCACGCCACCCCGCCCCCGCGGGGCTGACAGCACGCGATCGCCACGCGGCGAATCTTTGCCACGCACCGGAAATGAGGTCTTGCCATTGAGAACTGAGTCTACTTCTAACATAATAGAACCGAATAATTATTAATAATGATTGATAAAATTATGATTGGTTCTTCACAAATGAATCGTTACCAAGACCGCACGATATTTAATATTATATTCCAAATACGAATCGTACAGATACCTATCCTCTGAACAATTGTAAATCTTCCCTTCATCTTCTCTCTTCCACCTCCCCCTTCTCGCGTCTTCGCTGACCCTCCTAGCCATCCTAAATCCTCATCGCCCCGCCCTCACCCGGCTGACAGCACGCGACTGCCGGCTCCGAACGCGGCACGGCTCGCTGCGCTTCAAGCTTTGCCACGCACCGGAAATGTGGCCTTAACATTAAGAATTGAATCTAGTCATGAAGATTGATTCAACACTAATGAATCGCACGATATATACACCATAATCGAAATACGACTCGAACAGTCACATGAGAACTTACTAAATTCTTTTGAATAATTTTAATACTATTTCGTATAATATCATTATAAGAGATTAACGAATGTATTTCATTTAATCATTTTTAAAATCTTTAGGTTTTTTTAAACTGAAGTTTTGCGCAAAGGCAATATATAACTTTCACTAAACATGTTCTGATACACAAAACAAATCATATTTATGCGAAGATAACATATTTTTGGGTTGCAAATGCATTCTAAAAAATGTACAATGCCTTAACACTCTTCTGTCCACTACATAATCAATAATCGTACGAAAATGTATGATTTATTTCACTTTTAAAACTGGCAAACAACCAATAAGCCAACAATCCAACCAATAATCTGTGAAGCCATGACAATAGTCTAAAATAAATTAAATTTTATTCCGTGAAATGTGAGGAGAACTTATTCAAATTTACACTCTTTTTGGAACTGCGATAAGAGAAAAAATAAAATAAAGATAAATAATCTGACCAAAAAATGCAATGGAATTACCTTAATAAGTGATTAAAACTGATATCTATTACGTTAATTCCTTTGCAATCGTGACAATTCCTCATTACAGAAATACCACGTGAAAACATGCTGAACGTAAGATAGTAGAGATTGTCTTCGAAATCTGCGAGGTGAAAAAAGTTTCACTCGCATTATAAAGCGGGGAGATGTGCGATATGCCGAGTGAGAGTGATGAAAGATGGTCGATACATGCACTAATTAACACAAACGAAGCTCGCATCTTGCAGACATGAAGTCTATAACAATGGGAAGGAATCTGTGAATCAAGAAGAAAGAAAAAGTCTTATGAAAAGCATTTTTATTGCTCAAAGAGAGCATTTTTTTAAAATGCAGTAGCATTAAAACGTCTCTAATTGGTTATATCAGCTTTACACTCAATTATGTAAATATGAGACAGCAAATCTCTCAATGGAATTTAAAAAACGAAAACACTACTAACAAAGAAATTACCAACAAAACATGATGAATATTACGTGCAATTATTTTCAGATACTTTAGGTTGCCAAATTCTAGAAGTTGACATTTGATTTAGATACGATTTGAAATTAACAATCGTATCTTCCTTTAAGAAGGCTTATCAACTACGCCATGGAATTAAAAGTAAACATATAAGTAATAATCAATATTGTTCTAAATTCTGGTGTTCTAAGCTCATAAACATAATACACGCGTTGTAAAGAAACTCTTAAACATACAGATTGAAATAATAATGGATATCTGATAAGGTAAAATTTGCATATGGCTTGCTGTAAGAAAGCCCCACCCACCGTTATTCGCGGCTCTGGCGGACAACGCGCTCGCAAAGGAGCAATGCAAATAATTAAGCGGAAGAGGCAGAGCTACGAAAGGAAAACCGCGCGACACAATGGTGTGCGGAGGTGGAAAGGCGAAGGTGGGATGTGCTGGAGTGGGGTGGAGAAATATTTAGAGGCTTCGTCACTTTCCGCCGCACCCAACACACACAGAGCAGTGACCGCCCCTACGCGAAAACGCCCCACGCGCCTTCCCACGTGCGGCGCTGCGTCCGAAACTAAGCTTTGAGTTGTCATCCAATTGTGTGGTTTTTTTTTTTTTTTTTTTTTTTGAACCGGCTCGTGCAAGAGGATACAGCGAAACATTGCTTGGGCGAATTCGCTCATCTACGCTCCCAAACTGACTGATCATGTTACGTTCGCTTTCGTTTCACATTACCTAACGTCAAGACGTCCATTCTGTGCATTTACTGATGATTTTATTAGGCTAGAGTCCATCCAAATTTTAGTCGTATGATTCTCACATGAAATTAAATAGGATTTGGATCATTTTTCAAATAGTATTTGAACGAGAGGATGTCAAGGCGTTTACCCCGCTATAAAACTAGAATTTTGCCCCAGTCAATGATTCCACAATTAGCCTAACATATGTTTTCCATACTGAAATGTCCAAAACAAGGAATTCAAATCAATGAAATTATGAAATAAAATTTTCCACATGAGATTTCTAGAATTTAATCAGGCTGTTCTGTGTAGGTGAAGATGAGTTTTCGCTTCAGTCGTCATTTCGTTTCTCACCCCTTGAAGAAAATTGTCAATTCGTACTTTGTACATTCATCTGCTAGTCTTGGGTGTTGTAAAGGCCGTACTCGCAATGTCATCTCTTTTAACATTTTCTGTACCTCCATTGTTAAGAATGATTTATTTTCCCTTCAAAAAACTTTGATTATTTTTATATTCACTCTATTTTTATTCCAATGAAATGTTTATTAGGTTTTGCAACATCTTTGCCGACGAATTTTGCATTAACATGTTCCTGACATCTTGTTACAACTTTGATGTGGTAGCGATGATTTAAGAAAAATTCTCTCACTGATATATGAAACGTATAGAACGGGAATCCCTTTTATTTGCTTGCATGTTCTTAACGTTCTCCAGAATGCTATCTATTCATTTGAACGCAGTCACTATTCGGAACTTTGTTTGGTATTGTCACACAAAAATTATATTTTGTGAGAAATTACACAGTGAATGTTGTGAATGTATTCACTTTTCAACTAGTGTGTAAGAAAATGGCTTACGCTAAAACGCTAATCTGAGTTAAAAATAAGTAACTTTTTTTCATGTAATGCAGTTAGGTCAATTCAAATAGAACTGTTTGGAGAACGTGACATTAGACATTAAAATTTGTCTTGTCTTTAGTCATAAAAATAGAGGTACACATTACCACGAGTGTGCAGATAAAAGAAAGGCAATAAAATGACTTCGTTTTTATAGAATTCTGAATAGTGCTTCAAGCTCTATTTGATTTGGTACAAGAACCATCCTACTAAAATCTAGAAGATGACTTGTCTAAATAAGTCATGGCGAAGCGAATAAAAGTTTCCTCAATATTTTTTTTAAAGAAAACAAACGTAACATGATATAACATGCCCATCATTAATAATGTAAATCCATATAATTTATCTCTGATGATCGTTATCACTTAATCTCTGATGTTAGATTAGTTCCTACATTAATTAGTACTGTCGAAGATCAGTTATCATCAATGTGGCGAAAGCTATTAATTGGATAATAGTTTGTTAGTCACTAGCAAAAGCACTCTGCGTAGCCCGAGTATTTATTAATGACGATCAGCTAAGAGCAGGAAAAGGAGTTAATTATATCTACATAACATGGCTGCGCCACCTCGCACCGCCCCGTCGAACCCACTCTGCTCTGTCCCATCCGACCAGCTCTTATATGCTATTTCCAATCTCGCCCTACCCTGCCCCGTCTGAACCAGTGTCACCCTTTCTGACACCATCGTAGCTACGATTATCAGTTAGATTAACTACTGGTTACTCTTAGCAAACTTTCAGTAACAAAAGTTAAACTGAATTATCATCGCACACTCATAACACACCATCAAAGCGATATGACAGAATCCTTAGTTGAGTCACGATCTTACTATTCAAGAAAAATCGGCTGTGCTCTCTAGAAGGAGTTATCTGTCAGACATTATTGCTTTTGAAATTATTTATATAGAAGACATTGAGCTTAAAAAGTAGCATATCTATGCCCAACAAATTACTCTACCTTCTCCTGAAAGTGTCATCAAAATCGATTCAGTTGTCTCTGGGATTAGTTCAGAGAAACAGGCAGAGAGAGACAAGAGACAGAGAGAGAGAAACAATTGGCGAAAACAGTTGAATGGGTTTTATACAGTATATAACCATACGTGATTTAAAATAGTTATTTTGAAATCATGGACAGGATTTTCAATTTTATCTATGAACGCAGATTAAACAATAGCGTGATGCGCTCTAATTGACATTCATGTGTGTTACAGATAATGCGACGGACGATGACGACCCCTCGCGGCGAGTGGTGTGCTACTACACCAACTGGTCGGTATACCGACCGGGCAACGCGAAATTCACGCCTCAGAACATCAACCCATACCTGTGCACGCATCTCATCTACGCGTTCGGAGGCCTTACGCGGGAGAACGGGCTGCGGCCTTACGACAAATACCAGGACATCGAGCAAGGTGGGTCCCTCTGCGCCTTTTAGTTGTCTTGTTCTTTATTATTATACTATTATCTTATTATTATTATTATTATTATGTATTATTATTATTATTTTAATGGTTATTAGTACTATATTATTTTATTATCATATTTATCTTTCTAAATACTATCGAATATCTTCCAGTTTACCCCTTTATTATTTTATTCCCATTAATTTTGAACAAAAATCTATTGCTGTCGATATAGAAACATTAGTTAATATTTTGAGAAGGTCCTAACAGAAAAGATAGATAATAATTTATAAAGTAATTTTTTGAAATAGTAAGCAATAGTTGATAGGCGAATCACATAAAACCGACCTCCATTTAAAGAAAAATAGTTTTAATTTTTCAAAATTTAGTTCTAAACAAATGTAGTATTTCTCACTCTTAAAAGTTCTTCTCATACCAAGATTTCTTATAATCTTATATAAGAAAGTACTATAATGCAACGGCAAAATTTGGCGATTTTTCGACAGAAACGGCGAAATTCGCACTATGGGGCCTTGATACCAAACAAGTAGATAAAACCTGTTTCTAATAATATATTCTATAATATATTGCAGTGAGGTACTTCCTCTAACACGTGGGGCAGTCAGAATCCCCTCTGTATGGGTCCTTGACACCGAAAAATCGATTAACGGCAAAACGTCCGTCTGCAAGTGCGCCTAAAACGTTCAAACTATTTTCATAAAAATTGATATTCCTCGATTGGTTTCAACGAAATAATGGCTCTGCCAGTTTGAAACTAATATTTTGGGGGTACAAAGACTCAAAAACATTTTCAAATTTTTTTCAAAAACAGCTCTTAAATTTTCAAATTTTTTCCCCACTGATAGAAAAAAAGGCTTAAAAATTGGCAACGGTCTCATTTTCGGGAAACATCCTGAATTTTCAAAAATTACAAAAGTTAAAAGAATGGGAGAATGTACGAATGCTCTTTTATCACCACTTGCTAGTTACCGAAACACCTCTAATAAAGTCAGTTGACCGGCACTTATCGGGAGGACTTCATCTGATCGTCGTAGAATTTGAATCGCCCTTCTCTAGGAGGAAGCGAGCGCATCTATTCCTCGCCTATGGGAGGTGGAAAGAGGGTCAGCGGTCCGCGGGCGCCGCGCCGCGCCGCGTCTTCGCTGGAAAGCGGCCCGCGCGGCTGACGCAGCTTTCTTTCGTCTCCGCGGGCGCTTTTTGCCGCCTGCCCGGCGCCCTCGCCCCCGTCCCCGCCCCCGACGCTTTTTTACCGTCTGCGCCGCCAGGGACGGGACATGTTTAGCTCTGCCCCCCCCCTCTTCGGCTGCATTCCGCGGCGGGCGAGACCTGTCAGATCGTCGCATGCCCAAGATAGCGACCTACTGTCTTGCTCACATTCTACGGCAGTGTAGGGCGGAAATTCGTGTTAAATGGGGAGTATGTAGTTGTTTATTGCAAGTCTTTGTAGTGAGAGATACAGAAATGTGTAGTATGTGGGATTTGTCGTGATCCAATTGTCACCAGTTACTTTCAACATTATTCAAGAATTATTACGTTAGTATTAATTATAAATGTTATTAATTATTGTAATTATTACTATTATTGTTATCATTATCATCTACTGACAGGTGTTATATTTTGCATATGTGTACACCTTTCTCAATGCAGTCGGCTGCACTAGAGCCTCACATTCTCTGAAACTTCCCAAATACTTACTGGCATTTGCCCCTAACGGACCGCCCCCCCCCCCACTACGAAGAGGGCACCGTAACACCTCTCCAGACCTGGTGGGAAAACTCGGGGTAGAAGAACCTTACCTCTTATTATTTATAATTTACATAGTCTGTTTTAGTTTTTTTTCGTAAAAACATTAATTATCAATACGAACTCAAATTCTGCTTTTAATATTGTTAAACATTTATTTTAACATCTACAAAAATATAATTATTCATTGTTTAGACTGTGACTATAAATTATCCATGAATTTTCTCTAAAACAAAAAAGTGTTGAATGACCTCGAAAATTTGGAAAACACTGTTCTCTGCGATTCGTCCGCTGCATCTTTCGTGCGGTTTGATTTGTGGAAATTGCTCATGCCCAAAAACGTTAAGGTGCCGTTAAATATGCCTCACAATTCATCACTTTGATTTAATGCGCTTGTACGTGGGCAAGAATGGTGAGTTGAACCTGTTATTATACGCGATAAAATGCCAGTTTGTGTCAATTAATAGCTTGTCATTCGATTTTAAATACATTAATCATACTAAGTAATAATAATATATATGTAAAAGGTCACACTGAGACGGGCTGCATGTGAATAGTTGGATAACGGTCTTCTCTGTATACGGTACTTTCTCAACACTATTATTAGTTATTGCATTACAATGGATAGTGATATTCCTACATGAAATATTGATATTTAAATGCTGATCATAAATTTACTTTGTAAAGTAATAACTGAATAAATTTTCGTTTGTGATATTTACGGGAGGAAACAATTAGATTAATTTACTTCAAAAGTTAAAAGTTTTCTTAAAAACGATAACAGAAGACGTTTTGCATTTGATATTTTGCGATCAAAATCTACAAATATAATAGATAAAAATTGAATTGTTACGTACGAGATTAGTACCCATTTTTGCTTTCGTTTCTACTAGTTGTTACAATTCGAAGACTACTTTCTTGTACTACATGAGTACATTGTTCTGGCCCAGTTATATCGTGTGATTATTCGCTCCAAATTTCACTCACCTCAATGCTATTTGTGTTGTTGGGGTCGCATAAATACTACAAGCTCCAGTCATAAATTGACAGTTCGACTGAAAAATAAACACTAAAACGTTTTCTGTCAGATTTGGTACGAATTATAAACAGAACACACTATTCCTCCATGAATACAAAAATAATTTAATTAGGAAATTTTTATCTAATGATACATTTTACTAGAGAAATATCTTTCATTTTAGATGTGTATTTTTGAAGCTGTTTGTCACAAAAGATCCCGATATCCATTTTCTATTTTTTCTTCTCGGTAGTGTTGTAGATATTAAGACAATAATTTATTTCTACATTAGTTTATAACCAATGAAATGGAAAGTATTTGAAAGACATTTTGAAAGCAATGTTGTATGTTTACCGAAAATATGACATCGTTTCAAAAACGTAATCATTGACTTTACAGACAGAATGACGCAAAAAAACTACCTTACAAACTTAACGATCAATCCATACACATAAATAAATAAAACATGGAATGCATTGTCATCGATGAAGGAAACCAGGTCGAATAGCCATGTGATATGCGTCCAATGGCTCCCCTTCGCCTTTCTCCTGCCCTTATTACAGCTCATTTGCCTCAAAACCCACCTGCGTTCCTTTCGACAACGTACGCTGTCAGTCACGCGAGATTAGACTGTCATGAGAAAGGTGATGAACAGACGTGTCTCTGAATTGTTCTACAGAAGTACGTTCTGTTCACTTCTTGAGTCACTAAACGAAGTTTAGGCATTCCAGTTTACAAAAGATGGTATAAATGCTCTGAGCCATATCTATTGACATTATTCATTTCCTCTACATCATAATTCAATTTCTGGAAGTAATTGTTAAGCTTTAAAATACTTATTTTTTTAAATTTTATCTTTTATTTGAAAAATATTGTATTATTTATTAAACATTTAAAGTAGTTTGTAGATTGTCTGTCCAAATAGTTATTGATTTTACGTATCCTTGGTATTACAGACAATAACAGATAAAAAGAGAAAGTAGTAAAAGGCAGACGAACACAGATTGTCTATACCAAAAATACTTCAAATCAATAATTTATTAAACGTTCTGAAGCAATTTTAGTTATCTTAAATTTCTTAAATTAATCTTAAATTAACAAGTTACAAGTCAAACGGAGACACAACACAACCCTCAAAATATGCATCTTCAGTTGAAATTGACTCTAAGACATTGTGTCATAAGTTGCAAGTGAATCGTACCAAAATTCGTAGCTTCTTACACTAGAAAAAATGAAATGTGAATAAAAAACGAAATGTATCCAACTCCGATAAAATCTTCATAATATAAATTCCAGTTTCGGTTCCGCAAAAGAACTTTGGTATTTGGAAAATAAAACCAGTACGAATGTTTAGAGAAAATATGTCTAATTATAAATCTGTATTCGTTATTGTGCATAAATAACATAGCATATCACATCAAAATTTTCTCACACAATGATCTTTGTACTTGCTGAGGCTACGAAATATTGCTTAGATGATTGGGAGAGCATTTGCAGAAACTGTGACGAGAGAAGTTGTGTACATCGCCTTGCTTTGTTCTCGTCAGACTCAGAGTCAAATTCTGAGAAGATGACACATACTTGACGAAGATTATTACTTTGCATTAAGTTTCATTAAGTACTGAAGAGATTGTCATGGTTATCTTTCTCTGGACAAAAATACGCGTTCTCCTTACAAATTTCACGCTTGGTGTTTGTGCATGTAGCTTTTTGCCGCCTTTCAAATCGCTGGTTCACGGAGACTACATGAATGCTTGCGCCCAATGGGCGTATTGATAACTTCTCTACACGATTGCTTCGAAACTGCTCGCGCGTCCAGATTCTCAAACTATGCGATCTCGTCACGTCTTTTGTGAAAAAAATGTTATTCCGGGAAATCTCTACAATGTGCAACTTTTCGTCGTGGCAGGCCAGGAGGTGGTGTGATGTACCAGTCATTTTTGGAAGCAGTTGAAGGTCAATTCCAAAGAGATTCATATCAAATTAATTATCTGCTGTTTGTGAAGGTTTCTTGAGCTAAATTAAACGAACGCGGGAAGTTCGAAATGTATCATCATTCTTTCTTAAATAGCTTCAAAGACTAGCTAAATGAATGAGCTCCAAGCGTGGTGCCAACTTTGAATTAATTTGGTTGCCTATGTGCAAACAGTATTTGAAATTTCTAAAGGAAGGTCCTTCGTGTATCTCCTTCGGATAATCCATGAGTTTCCTTTCCTTTTTATTTGCATCGCTTGCAGCAGTCTGAAAAATTAATGTCTGAAGAACGAAAATATTCTTTCTTAATGGAGTGCTTTTTATAAGCTGACATGTATAAATGTAATGCTATTTTTATAAAACGTAAACTTTCTTTTCATACCACATATATTGATAGTTTCATTTTAAGTGATACCCTTTACGGCTTCACTGTATCACTTGCGACACGATCAAGTGAGTGTGTAAGTTCATTTGAAAATGGTTGCGTAGGCTTCCGCGGCCGGAGTTTATGTTGTCTAGGCTATCCGGGACGAGCCGCGTCACTGTCATGGTGGCTAACGTTTCGGCCAGCGTATTGTGGCCTTCTTCAGAGCGTACTGCTCAGCACCGCTCAGCAGTACACTCTGAAGAAAGCCACAATACGCTGGCCGAAACGTTAGCCATCATGACAGTGACGCGGGTCGTCCCGGATAGCCTAGACATTATTCTAGAATGATTTTTTGTATGTGAATATATGTATGTGATGTGTGTGTGTGTTTGATTTAAGCGAGTGACTTGTACGTACCCAAAGGATGTAACTTTTGTCGCGAGGAGCGTGCATTTGAATTAATGTGTGAACAGACCTGTGCTAACTCGACCCAATGGCTTGCAGGCGGCTACGCCAAGTTCACGGGGCTGAAGACGTACAACAAGCGGCTGAAGACGCTGCTGGCCATCGGCGGCTGGAACGAGGGCTCTGGCCGCTTCTCGCCGCTGGTGGCCGACGACGAGCGGCGCCGCGAGTTTGTGCGCAACGTGCTCAAGTTCCTGCGCCAGAACCACTTCGACGGGCTGGACCTCGACTGGGAGTACCCGGCCTTCCGCGACGGCGGCAAGCCCCGCGACCGAGCCAACTACGCCGCGCTCGTCAGGGTGAGTGCCTCTGTCTGTGTTCGGACCAGCCACCCGCGCTCGCCAGCGTGAATGTCGGTGCACTCGGTCTAGTCATCCGCGCTCGTCATACCGCGTGCTCGTTGGTGTACACGGTCCAATCATCCACACTTTTCAGGGTGTATGTCTCTCTGTATTCTTGATCAATTCATCTGCGATCGTCAGGGTAAATACACGAAAGCATACCAGCCCTGAAGAAGACCACGACAGGATGGTCGAAACGTCGGCAACACAGCCTTCGACGCGGCGTCACCCGGACAGCCCAGATCACGCACAGGATAAATATGGGTCTGTTTATTCGGTCCAGTCAACAGCACTCATCAATTTGAGTGTTTGTATGTGTTCGTGGTCCAATCACCCGCGTTTTTCAAGGTGTATGCCCATCTATATCCCTGGTCCAGTTATCTGCGCTCGTCAGGATGAGTGCTTATCTGTGTACTCGGTTCAACCATTCGCGCTTGTTATGTTGAGAGCCTGACTGTTCCGAGCTGATCTGAGCGTGTGCCAGTTCACCCGGTTCAGTCATCCGCGTTCGTCAGAATTGCCTGACAGATATTTGATCCAGTCATCGTCTCGCTAGTCAAGGAGAGTGCCTGTCTATACATGTGAACAACAGGGTCTGTGACCGGGGTCCAGAAGATGTTAGGTATGACGGGGAGTCGCGTGGTGTAGTGGACAAATTGTTTTCTTCCTATGGGTACCGGGTTTCAAATTCCAGACGATTCTTGTGGAATTGGCATTGGAGAAAGATGGTTCGCGGTAGGTTTTCTCGAGGTTCATCCGTTTCCTCTGTATCTCATACCAAGTCTCCATCATCACTCACAAAATATCACAGCATGTCATACTCCCTAATCGGTCAGGATCATTAGCACACTCCAGATGTGGCTAAGATCATGAGGAATTGTATCATAATGAAGATCATGTAGCGCCCTTCCGCGAGTCACCGAGACCTTTTGTATCGATAGAAAACACAGACCCCTTGAGGATATCTTCGAGTGTAGGACTTAATTACTTACTTTCATTTTCTCATTCCTGAGTTCAAATATCAATCGCCCGCGTAATCATCTGCACTTCACGAAAACTAAAACTCTAAAAAATACTACACTAGAAAACCCAATGGTCATCACTAGGCGGCAGTAACTCGATGAAGATAAAACAATAGCGCCCATGTGTGAAAGTTCAAAGGGCCAGAATGATAGTACGCGAGGGGAAATGCGACGGTCATCACAGTCGATGAACTAGAGCTGCCCAAATTGTCAAAAGGAACAATAGGTTACGTTGCTCATATTGCGACATTGAGGCTGGTGCTTTGTTTTTGGTATTTCTCTGAATCACAATTAATGCATAGAAGCCCAGAGCTGAATGCACAATCAATACCAAGAGCTAAATATTGTAGGAGTAGAAGGAAAGTCACACATCTTAAAAATTCTAATTTTACAGAAATGTTTTAACCTGAGCGGAGCCTGTATTCGTGACAGTTACAAAATACTATTTTACTCTATATCTTAGCTGCCTTGTGAACTATATTCATTTGTACTAGAGCAGGGATGCCAAACGAGGTGAATTTAGGGCATCACTACAGCCACTTACTCCCTTCACCCTGTGCCCCTCTCATCTCTTGCCTTTCACCTCGATGGGTGACTGACCACACCCCTTTTATGATACTAGCTTCCATAACTTCGATTGACGTTCGGCGTGTTGCTGATCAAAGCAGCCGATCATTTTGACTATACGGAAGCAACATTAGTGCACCCGACACCCTACGCTGGTGCAACCGTCACTCGGCAGTGCAAGTTATATTTCATCTACCCTACTTATCTATAAAATAACTCAATTGATTGCGCTAATAGTGGAAGCAATTTTTGTCCAAACGAAAACACCGATAGGAAAACAAACTTTTATGTTCCCTTAATGGCACATTTAATTAGAAATGTATATCAGTAGAATTATTAGATAATTATGTGAAACATATGATAATCTCAATGCTTCAAGTTACAACTAATCGGTTACAAGTTTCTATTTAACAACCACTTAGCTAGTAGAAATCTGAAATACCCGAGAAGACCAAAATGTTTTCCCTTGACGTTTCGGAGTCCAATATGAACTATCACCAGAAAACTTCCTCCATTCACCCACCTTATACGCGCACCGCCACCAACACAACCACTTGAGACACGCGGGAAAACCGCCCATTGCCAAAGAGCCCCGTGGGAACCGTTCTGTCGCGAGAAAGCGCGGTCCGACTCTTCGGGGTCACAACAACGGCCGTCATAATACGCGATGACGTCCTCGCGGAATAATTAAGAAGAGAAAGAAACTGGGGAAAACACGCAGGTCTCCGGCGTTTAACGCGTATTCTTTTACGACAGATAACGCCAGCCCCGAGGAGCGAGCGATACAATCCATTACATAAACAGCAAGTGCCCGTGCCGTATTGACCGGGCCTCGACCCGAATAACGCCGGCATTTGTATCCGAGCGACTAAGGGGGGGCTAACTGCTTTGTAATGAGCTGTATCCCCACGCGTACGCCGTTACGTCACTTCACAGGAGAACCGCAGTTCCGCTCCAATTTGCGAACAAACGAGCGCCGCGGCGCGATGGGAGCGCGCTAGGAGGCTTTGCGACAGACTGCGTCATCTCGGAGGTGGCGGCGGTTGGGGTGAATGAGGCGGGGAAAGCAAGGTTACGGTATATGGAGAAGGGTACATCTACCAGAATGGCGGACAATAGAGCACTTAGAGCCACATGGTGCGTCGTAGTTCCAAACAGAGAGAGGGAGTTTTAAATGTAATCAGAGAGAATGTTCGATTATACGTGAATTATCACACTGAATTGCAAGTTAGGAAATGGGATTTATTTAACATTGCTTTTATTATTTGAATATTCTCTTCCATTAAACCGTTTCACTCACTGGGTTTATAGAGATAGCAGCTGTTTCATTCGTCTTAACTAATTTTAGACACGGCAATTCGGAGCGATCTTAAAATTTGTCATCGTGCGAGAGAAATATTTTTAGTGGAGCCGTTTATTTAACGGTCAATTTCAGAGTACTAAAAGACAAACTACACTATATACTGGCTGTCTGGTGAACTAGCAACTATATGAAATTTTAAGTAGTAAATATCGATTATTTTCTAAATATTCTTCACTTATCTAAGAAATGATTTTGAAGGTGTTTTTATGCATCAAGTTACCTCGCCTACGCAGTGCAGTCGAAAATTCTCCCACTGAATTATAATAGTCTTTGTTTCGTTGGTAATGGGAGGTAGAATCTACGTGATTGAGTCGACGAAATTGCGGGAATAACAAAAACAGGCTACAACACTACAGAGCGCATCGTATCACTGCCATCGCGCCAACATACTAATTATTGGTTAACTTATTACTAGTTAACAACAAACTTATTATAGGTTTTTTGGCGCGATGGGAGTGATGTGCACCTGGTTTATTCAACCAAAATGCAACACGTAATAACAGTAATAAAAATAAATGAATAAAAATCAAACATCGTATTAATACGGTCACGAGAAAGCAGTTGAAAGCTAGTCGAAATGTCACCGGAATGCAATTTTAGAAACACTTTACTTGAGAAGCACGTACCTTTCGCGGGCGTGTCTTTTTTGTGTTTTCAAATATTATAATTTAGTTCGCCGTATGTAAACAACTTCTTGTAATGCATTGCCAAGAACTGGGAGAGCACGATATGTAAACAGTGAGGAAACGCCAAAACTGAGGAGATAATTGTGAACGCAGCAAGGGAACATGAATAACTAGGAGAAATTGATGGAACATGGCGAGGGTACGTGAAGAAATGGAAGAGCTTGGTACGGGGAAGGTGATGGAACATGAAAATGCGGAAGAGCTCGGTACAGAGATGGAGAGGGAACGTGAAGAATTGGGAGAGCTTGAAGTAAACATGGCGAGGGATTGGAAGTGTATCGTGGAGAGATGCAAGAGACCGAAACAAACCAGGAGATCTTGGCGTGGCGAGTACAGCGAGAGAAGTTTTTGTGGTGGGAGCAAAGGCTATGACGGGGACGACGGATCTGTTAAGAGATTAGTAAGCGAGAAAAACCACAGGACCTCAACACTAAAGAAACAGGGAACCTCGAGACAGCGCATGGGACACCAACCCTTTCCGACAACGGTAGAGAAAGACCCACTACCGCATTGCAGGGGGGCCGTCTGCATTAAGCGAAAGAATAGGAAGGCGTGAGCGTGTGGGTTGATGGATGGGCGAGAAAAATGTTACGTTGCTAGTTAAACAGAGATCATGTAACATTCGCACACCGTAAACTGTCTGCCAGCAAATGCAGTTGTGAAATGTAGGAAAAAAGTGGCTTCTTTGAGTAGGTTCGTCGATGCAACTTCTGTGACGCATGTGGGAAGAATGAATTACTCAAGACATTTTAACTACTTTCTCGGAGAAATAACGGAAACGAATGTTTTGGCGTTGAGTACCATCACATACAAGGAACTTTTTAGCATTCATTTCAATCGAAAACACGAAAGATTGAAATGTTTTCAAAATAAATGACTGGCTGTTAATAAAACGAACAGTAAAGATCGTCTAAGCCAAAACTGTACGATAATAAAAAGTCATAATTGGTGTAAAATTAAATTTCAAGAGCACACATTTTTAATTCTTAATAAAATTTTGTCACATTTATTCCCGTGACAATGGGAAATCGACAGACATGTATGAGTGAAATTAAATATTCGCGAAGTAACACTAAGACAAATTGTTGTTGGTTAGTTACACAGAACCAAAAAGAAATAAGAACAAAGGAGAATAATTATTATTATTATTATTATTATTATCGAATAATAAATCGAATAATTAATATTATTATTATTGAATAATTAGAAATAATTAGCCAGGCGAGCGCCGAAACATTCAGCATTCCTGACGTACACTGGGCAAAACTTGCCTTTCATTTTGAAAAGAACAAGGGTGGAACAACTTCCGCGAATATCAGAGCTTCCTGAATTGGTGCTGCTTATTTAAATGAAGATGCAATGTTTTCTATTTTATGTTCAATGTATCATACCTCAAGATTTCATTGATATTTTAGACTATTTCGTACTAATTTGCGTTGAAACTCGTGAAAACCGTATCCACTGGTTGGTTAATCTCACGATTAATGAGTGAAATTGTCTTACCTTCCCCTCCCCTCCTCCAAAAATTATCTTTCGTCAAGAAAAAACGAAGAAGCCTAGAAATTTGAGCCAATGCCAATGCTGGCACGCTTTTGAAGCATTCACAGTGCGACCTTGCGATGTGTTGTTGAGCAAGCGCAGTGTTTACGACCGGGCCAAAGCGTGCTCTAGACAGCGAGGGACGACGCGCATATCGTCCAGGCAGAGGTCACCTCCTCCGGCTCGTGTCTTTCACATCCTTGAACCTTCGCCCATGTCGAGATACTAAAGCGTTTGGCGCATTCTTGTGAGGAAATAACAAATTCCAGGGATATCCAGCTTTGTGTGAATGTGTATATCTTAACACAAACCGACGAATTCCCCAAACATCAAATATTCAACAAATAAATAAAAATCTTAATTTATTATGAAACTAAAGCCTATTTTTTGTTTCCTTTGTTGTTGTTGTTGTTGTTATTGAGTATTATAGTCATAAATATATTTTATCATTAATTATTACAATTGATAATTATCAATAAGAATATTGCGATTATCATATTCTTCGTTTGTAAGCAAACAATCAGCCGAGTGGGTCACAGGTTTACCAAAGTTCCGTAAGGAAACATCGACACGAAGCTTGTTACTTTTTTCCATAAAGCTCTCGAAATCTGTGAAATGTAAACGAAGAAATCTTGTCGGAAAATAAATATACGTGTTGTGGTGTTGTGATGACTATTGTTGGCAATGACAACGTCTATAATTATTTCACGGAAAATAAATAACCTTAAAAATCCTTCTACAATTATCTTCACGTCACTTAATTGAGACCCTACACGAATAATTTTTGGTTTGGAATCTTCATGAATAAGAATTAGAAGATTATATTGTTTTTGTATCTCGGAGAAATTCTATCCCATTAAAAACAAATTTAAGTTGCAAAAACAACGTGCCGAAATGAATTGTAATTGTGGACACTCGACAAACTCATTTTTTAGACAGACTCTAGTATAAGCGGTTCTTTCAGGGCATGTGTAGCGTAATAAATGTTCAATTTTTAGCACTAGCGCTAAAAGCAAGACGATGCTCATTTGTTAATATGAAGGCAACAAAGAAAACAAAATACTTTCACCTGGCCGCATCACTACCGACTTTAATGTAATATTAAGTGATTTGTATACTTGAATAAAAGTAAAATGAAAGTCGGTAGGACTCTCTGAACAAATAGTGCATGACACGTTGTAAAAGTGATTTTATTTTGCTCGTCGGATTGCACCCTTGGCCTATCGACCTCGTGTTGCAGAATTTCCTAGTCGCAAAATTAAATGTCACTTTTATCATTCGTATTTTGTATAACTATAAACAAATGATCAAAAATGATATTTCAAATTAAAAGTAGCTATATACTATTATTTACAGTAATGAATATATTATTATTCTTTTAGAGCATCTGTTGTAAACTTTTTCAAACAGCTAAAAATGTCACAACGTTCTAAGGAATAACTGGTCATTATTTTTGTGAATTGTTAAAAACTGAAATCATTTGATGGTTTACTATCTATAGGTGAAATAATTTCTCATTTCGTACAGATTTGCGTAATAACATTCACATTTCGTATTGACATGATCTCCCAAATTCAACAACGCTGATACATGTTGGTCGACCACCCGAAAACGTTTTATATTCAGCAGATTTTAGGCACACAACGCTTTCGTTTTCTAAATGTTCTTGAAGTCTACAGTTAAACGTTGTAGTCTACACGTACCTCAATAAAACTGCTCTTCATGGGCGATGTTTCTTGACAAAGCACGTAACTCTTCACCACTTAATAATGTCCTCGGCAGTGTGCTATGCCGGGAATGATAGAGAACAGCCCGGTCAGACCTTTTCTTGGGAGTACTCTATTAATTCATGAGTAATTTCATAGATCGCAGCATATTCTTTTTTTGAAACCATTTGTCTCTTATAAAAGGAGGTGACTTTCGCGGTGTCTTCAACAACCAACATCTGTTTTCACGAAAATATATTCGTAGATCACTGAGACTCTACAATTCAAGCCCGTTTATGTTGTCTGGAAACATTACATCATTGATTATACAGCAGAATTTATTACAAAATTAAAATATTCTAAAGCTCGAAACTGAAGTATTTTAGTAATGTTGGGAAATATTGGAAGTCAAATTAAGAATTTTTCTTACAGTTAGGTGATCGAGACATAGTAAAAAATATTAAAAGGTCTATAAAATAGGAAATAAATTAAATGAGTGAGAAAAAAATAAAATTATATTCCTATTTAAGGAGAGATAAAATTATATTCCTATTTAGTCATAAAAGCTTGTTTCAGATAAAGAGCGACTTTTTTTCAAACTCCAATTAAAGATTACTGTTCACGCGCTATGTTCCAATTGGAATTTCGTTTTCTTGTAGAGCGGATGTGAGAAAGTGTCAATAGCATTTTAAGTATGTTTTTCCGGCAGTTACTGTATTGAAAAACGGGAGAACCAGAATGATGTTGTAGTTAAAAGTTCATCAAACTCAGCCGAGAGAGAATGTTCGGGTGTTGTGACGTTGAGGAGGGAGATCGTGTGCTGAGATATTTGCTTAGTTTTGCTACATATTGTGAAAAAGACCGACAATTATCTCCCAAGAATTAATATCCTGATGTGCCGAGGGCGTGATGATCGCTGTCTTACGCTGTATCATGCACGGTATAAAAAGACTTGAGACTGTCTAGAGGTTTTATGTTCTGACATTGTGTGTTGGACATTACCACGAACGATGGAAAATACCGTCTAAAGGAATGTGTCCTGAATGCATTTTTGTGCTTTGCCACACATAGTCGAAGAGATCGTAAGCGATCAGCCAATAATTAACGACTTGTTGGCAAACTGTAAATGTACATTTTTTATTTATAATTTTATTTTTTACAGAGCATACATAGATAAGTACTTTAATGCACTATACATATGTTCTGAAGGCTTACATTCTAATTTACCTACAAATAAACTACATACTAATGTGGGTGAGGCAATCTTTTGCAGACACCTCAAACTGCACGTGCTGAGCTCTAATTTATACTTCGTCGAGTATGGTCGAAAGGATCAGGGGTGATGTATCAAGTAGCCGTGACATTGAGCTGAGGGGTACTGACCACATAATACCGCTCTACCACATAGTCAATAAAACCGTCTGAGGGTGCATGTTGAGTGCTTTGATGAAGCTTCGACACGCCGTCAAAAAGTCGGTGAACGATCTACCAATAAGTGCTAAAAATGCCTACTTCCCTTATTCTTACACACATTATACTTCTGCACAAGTCAGGCGACCTGTCGGAAGCTTAGGTCTTTTCCTGGCTAGTCTTGGTGCCCTGATAAGGGGCGACACAAGGAGAGGGAAACCCTCCTGTAAGACAACATGTAGGTTGGCACCTGATCTTACCATTCAGTGGGGGAGGAAGTCCGCCCGCGAGAAATTATTTACTACACCAACGCGCCTAATCAGCATAGCAGTTGACGTGTCCGGAAACAATAAATGAAACAATCAATTGAATCGGTGATTTTAAAAGGGAAATAAGTCCTCTGTTTTCGTAAAAAGAGTTGAGATACATATCTTCTTTTTACTCTTCAAGCTATAGATCAGTTAAAAATGAAACTTTTCCAGCTTAAAGAATGTGTTCAATTGCCTACAAAAAATTCTAAGGACTAGAAAAGATAAAGAAGTCCGGGACTAGTTTCTGACCCTCAAACAGAAGAACTAGTATTATCGGCTAGTAAATGACAAAATGCTTTATGAGAACAGTAACTGAGGACATCATCGACTTCATACCAGGTGGTCGAACTACTTTACGAAGTCAACCGAGTGTCTTGCTAGTTCTGGCAGTCCTTTTTGTGAGTCTGGTAGGATTCTTTTCAAGGAAAGCAGCTAACGTGTGATAGAGCATATTTTGGTTAGCTCGTGGCACGTGAGTACATACATTGACGGGCTTATCAAGTACCGAACTCGTTTATATTGGCAAAAGGGAAGGCACATTCAGATTTTCCCTTTCAATAAAGTAATGGCTCAACTGTTCCTCCAATCAACAAAAAGAAAATAACATATGTTCATAAAATAGTAAAATACATCTCACATGAATATCTCCATTTCTACCCGAAATTTTTGACACCGATCCAAGTGAAAATGAATGATCAGTAGATACTGATATTATTAATTTAGCAAGAGTAATGTGCATATCTACATGGCCCAACATGTTAATTCTCACAATTATATATTTATTCTATAATTGCAATGTTTCGTAAGACCACAAATAAAGACTTTTTAAAAATATTTTATAATTATGTTATAAAGAAAATAAGTCCAGAGTATAAAAACGGTTCTCTGTATATAATTTTAAAAAAAATTAAGTTATAGAAGAGCCCAAACAATGAAAAATGTCTAGTTCTACAACTTTTATGTAGAACATAAATATCCCAGGGCCAACTGTGGATGCTATTAAGTTCTTTTTGTGTTTCTCATAACTATAGAGCAAGTATTTATTTCTCTTTCTAAATCAATCGAAGTGAGAGTGCTGTGCTGAGCGCTATTTTGTGCTGTGCTGTGCAGGAGCTGCGCGAGGAGTTCGAGCGGGAGTCCTCCAAGACGGGCCGCCCGCGCCTGCTGCTGACCATGGCGGTGCCGGCGGGCATCGAGTACATCGACAAGGGCTACGACGTCGAGTCGCTCAACAGGTGAGTTGCCGCACCCGAAAATAACCCGGCGGGGAGGGTTGCGGGGCAGACGGCCTGAGGCGGTCCCAGACGTCCCGGTTTTACCGAGGGAGTTTCTGTTTTCAAAGGTTTTCTTCCTTCCGTCCCGGTGTACGGACAACTAAATTTCGGGACGGCAAATGTCGCGATTTTCGATGCTGCCGCTGCGCCCTCTGAGTCTGTACTTATAATGTAGATGGCTATGTTCACTAGCTCTTTGAAGTGCACCATTCTAGGTTATGATCAATTACTTGTGGACGAGCTCGCACTTCCAGTTTCATACGTAACATATGCAATTATCAGATCTACTAAAAATATCAAATTGATGATACTGTAAATAAAAGCGCAAAATGGCATCTGATTTTTTTGTATATTATTACTTATAATTTAAAGATACGCTACCAAAAAAGATTATTCGGATAAGACGTCTCCATAAACAATGAAAAATTAAAAACTGACCAATCTAAACCCGCAACCCGCAGAATTTGGTGCTATTGGAAAAACATTTGGCGGTAAAATTCGATAGTTTCAGTGGCGTGCTATTTAATAATTGGAGTGAGATGGGGTTAGAGGAAGTATGATAAAATTGAGTTTGGTAATTGGAGGGTCAGTACAACACACAACCACCACGTTAGCTTGTCTAAATGTATTTTAATTCGCAGCTCTTTAGATTCTGTATTGCGGGAGGTCAATCTTTCAACATGTGTGGATGTTTTTAAAAGATCTCTTTGTCCCTGGTCAACTTCGTGTAGCCCTCTCCAGATTAAAATGTGTTTGCCAGGTTAAAGCTTTTAAAAAGAGTGTTCTTCCGAGCAATTTGATAAGAAAAATTAATAATTTTAAAATATGAAAAAAAAAGAAAAAAACACACGCATTGCGTACTGTAAATATGTTTTTAATTATTAACGCGAGACTTATTTCGTCCCGTCATTTTTTACGGGTAACTCCTAGTTCACGATAAAAAACAATGAAACTACGAACGAAATAATATACGAAACGAATTCCGTTACGTTACAGAAATCTGAATATTTTAATACGGTCAAGAAATTAAAACACCACACTTTTTTAAGCTACTTCTCGCGCGACTCAAGAAAATTAGCATGAAATGAAATGTTGACGTTTGAAATATCAAGTATTACAACGCTTGCCTCATAATAATGCGAAAATAGAATTACTACAATCATTTTTTATTATTTCATTACTCAGATTAACACTATCTTTTGACTATGTTTTCCCATCACCTTCATCGTTCTCAATACAAAACCGATCTCCAGAAATAAAGTAATATAAACAATAAACTGTTAACTGAAACGCCACTCACAACATAAATATTCATGTTACACCAAAATCGTGCAAGTCTCCACACGAGAAACACTGACATGGAAAGAACCATACTCGAGAAAGAACCATACTACAAGATATATGTCTCTTTTTTATTCCACAGATCGTTTTCTATAAACCAGAACCGCACGGTAAATTACGAGCAATCGAAATTCATCTCCCTCACGAACACACGTAATGAGAACAAAGGCGACTGCAGCCGTCACATGCGTCTTGCGCAGCTTAAACCGAGTCAGCAACTATAATAAACACAGCGCCATACATCACGCAACATAACGTACCTCGCACGGAGTGAACGCGGCATGCAATCGAAGCCTTTGCGCAGTCCAGGAATACCCCCCGCGCTAACACGAAACTCCGCGATAAAAGGCAATTTTATGCCGGTAAAACACGTGCGTCATAAATACAGGCAACTTCGTGCTATCCGAAGAGAAGAAAATGAAAGTTATATATTACTGGAGTATATGTATCAGGGTACCGAATTTCTTGATAGATGAATTTTCCTCAAAATTACCAGGATAAAAATATTTCTTACTTACATTCTTGTTATGTTGACTGAGTTATTGAATTTTAACTTTTATGCTGCACTTCATTTCTCATAACTTTTTACTGCTTTAGATTTTACTGTTTTGACTGAAATTTAAAAGAATAGAAACACAATAATCGAATAAAGCATTGCCAATATTTTACTTTAATAAGAGAAATAACTGACGATATTATATTTAAATCCCTTTCAAATTCCTTTCCTAGTCAAATTCATCATAATCAAAGCACTTTTACCTTCTGGAGAAATATCATTCACAAACTAAATCTTTTACTTAAAAAACTTCACAATCCCTTTGTCATATGTTTCTCAAGATTTAATTTAAAAAGCTTTCTCTGCCAAGTATCTGGGTAACCTAAATTTGCCTTCGTTCAAAATACTTGGACAATAATGAATATTAAATTGTTTAAATGGTGTTGATAAGGTCAACGATTTAATCTTAAAGTGGCTCTCAGTGTATATTTTTTCTCTTTATCTCAATCTGACACTTTTCACTTCCTCAAACACAGTGAAACAAGGTGCCGCGATTTTCCGTCAAATATTCCCTAAAAGAATTTGTTTACGCGAAGCGAAACGGCCAAATGGGCCTGGCCGGCCACGAATTTCGTGAGAAACACAGGCCGCGCCGCCCCAGCTCACCCCACGAAACGCGCCAGGAGCCGGATTGCGTGTGAGCTCGCAATGAAAGCGCCGAAGCAAAGGCGGTCACCGGGCGCTGTAGAAGTACTACCGCACACACACTTCCGCCGGGTGCAACACAAACACACAGACACACACACTCACACAGAGAGAAATACACCCAGGGGCGAGATACTCAGCATACAACACGCCATAAACACGAGACAGCGAGAAAACCCGCCCAAACATTCCCTGGGCCAGCAAGGTCGGCCTAATGGAGTCTTTCGCTCCACATACGCCACGCACGTGCGTGAGCGTGTATGCGTGCGCGCTTGCTCTCTCCCTGCAGACGATTGCGATCTTTGGTTCTCAGCTTGCGGGATTCGGCTGAAGAAGGCGGTCTTAAACGCACTCAACCATGAGAAGTTAGACCTTTTGTTGTTAGCAAATACGTCTCGCTGCAGAAGAAATCTCACAAGCTGCGCGGTGTTTCGTAAATGGGTCGTATTCCCAGTTGTTACGAGTCACTAATGTAAGGAGTTCACTGCGCTTTATCATGCGTGTCGTATTCTAAACGTAAATGCACGGGTAACTTGGTGTTGAGATACCATATTTTCACGCGAAAGCGCAAAATTTACGTTCCTTGAAAGATATAATTACGCGCTCAGAAACAAAATTCTTGCGCAACTGCCACATTCAAGAAACAATTATGTAACAAAAACACTAGTAATTATAAGTTATATTACGTTTTTGTTTGCAATAAATCTGCAACAATGTTATTTGTGTGTTATAGAAGTATGTATCACACACGTAGTTAATCAATAAACGATTTTTATATATTTTAAGACACTATTGACATGATTCAAGATTTCAATTAAATTAGATATTAAATATTAAGTCAAATATTAAATTAAATATTAAATTCAATATTAAAAAAATATATTCAATCAATGTAGTTTATTGCTTAGAAATCTTCTGAAATAATAGATAAAAATAATGAAGTTGAACTTCAATGTTTCTGTAGAGATCTGGACTTCATGAACATTCTCAGCTACGACTATCACTCTGCATTTGAACCGGCTGTTAATCATCACTCACCGCTTTTCTCCATGGAGGAGGACAACGAGTACAACTTTGACGTGCAGCTGAACATCGTGAGTGTCAATTTTATCATGTTTCATTTCCTGTTTTCAAATGCAGCCTTCCTTAGCGCTGAGTATTTCATAACAATCACATGACTTTTCTTGATCTTTCATTATGCGCACGTTTTGTTGAGCTCTTTTTTCGCTAGTGGCGGGAGGAGTAGAACGGGGAGAATATTGTTTTTTATCTGCAATTCTATGAAACATCAAATAAACCATATTTTATTCTAGGATGCAAATATTTTTTATATTACTCGAAAGAGAAGATTTCAAATGTTACCAACCACGTTCTTTGGAAACTTTTACTCACAATTCAATATTGTATGAAGGGTTGTAAGCAAAAACAAGTTAATCCACAATCTACAAATGAAAATAATAGTTATGAATATCTATTATTTCCATTTGCCTTATGTTATATACCTGATAAATCTCTGGTGCATCGAAAGCTTTGGTCTTGGAATATGTCTCTCGAGGGAATGAGTGGTTGTTAAAACATCGTTTTATACAAAATTTAATTTCTGCTTTGTTTATTATTGACAGTAGAATCGTTGTCGGAGCAGAACGAGCCTCAAGTGCGTTAACATGTTCTTGCCCACAACCCTTCGTATAGTAAACGAAAGGGGTAGTAATTCTAAAGCTCAAGAAAACATGCGCATTTTATACTTCTCCCCTAAAAGCCACATACATTTTACTGTACTTAGACGATAATTTTTCAGTTAAAAATATTTGCGAGAATCCGCTTTGGGGTCGTCCATAAATTACGTAATGCCAACGAGGGGGGAGGGAGTTTGAGGCAGCGTTACGCTGCGTTACATACGGGTAGGGAGCTGTTGGTTTAGTGTTACATAACATTGATTTATTTTTAATTTTTAGACATAAACTGAAAGTTCGACATTAAAAGAAAAAATTACTTATTTTCTGTCTTATACCAAAACATTATAATATTATTTACTTTAAAAAATAAAGTTATTATGTAATTTGCTACAATAAATGAAAGTATTTTTCATATTTAAGAAGAAATTTTAACGTCTGTGTGACCTTCCTTTACACAGAAATTGTTCCCAATGTTATTGTTACATGTAGTCAGCCAATTCATTCTGACTTTAATTATCACGAAAATATTTGAAAATAAAATACAAAAATAATTAATACAAATTGTGTATCTGTGATACAATTTATTTTTATATCTTGTTAATGGGGAGGGGGCGGTTCTCAATCGTTACGTAATTATTTTGGGGGAGTTCAAGCGGGCTTTATGGGTGCGTTACTGTGAGGGGAGCGGGTATTCGAAATACTCCAAATTTGCGTTTCGTAATATTTTCCGGACGGCCCTTCGCGTCGCGGAGAGAGAGAGAGAGAGAGAGAGAGAGAGAGAGAGAGAGAGAGAGAGAGAAAGAGAGGGGGGAGTGTGTAAAAGGCGGGCGTTCGCGGTTGCAGGACCACACGGTGAAGCACTACATGAAGCGCGGGGCGTCGCCCGAGAAGCTGGTGCTGGGCATCCCCACGTACGGCCGCTCCTACACGCTGTTCAACCCGCTCGCCACCGACCTGGGCGCGCCCGCCGACGGGCCCGGCGAGCAGGGCGCCTCCACGCGCGAGAAGGGCTACCTCGCCTACTACGAGGTGAGTGCGCGAGGCTGAAGGTCTCTTGTTCAGGTGGACTGGATCATTCTCTCCAAATACTTAGGAAAGTTGTTTGTTTTTTGCATAAACAATCATATCACTTCCAACTTTAGAGACAACTTAAACCTTCTCTATCATGTAGTACATATCGATTTGTCAATATACATATTTTACACCGTTTTGGGACTTCGTTTTATACAAACATTATACACATTTTGCCACAGACAAAATATTATATTTTCCAACGTTTCGAAACCTTGTTTTGTCCCATCATTAGACTAAAAAGATAATTTGATGATGAGGCAAAACGAGGTCCCGAAACGTTACAAAATATGCATGATGACAAACTGATGTGTAATAAATAATCAGTGTGTTAAAAAGATATACGTTGTCCCTGAAGTTTGAACAAAAATATATTTCGTTTGAAAAGTTAAACACACAGACAACTTCCCAATCAACGTATTAGAGAGATTATTTATAGAAGAAGTTCGGGTAGTATATCACGTACTATGGAATAACGAGCTTATTCCTCTGTCAAGAGCTGCTGCCAAGTGGAACAATAGTAAAGTACTTCAGAATGCTCATGTGATGCTCTGCAGACTGTGTCACCCGCTTGCCACGTGTACCATATCTGCTACTTCATTTAATAATCAGAGCTCCAAACAGTTTGATTACCAAAAATGCTAACAAATAAAACAGAATTTCATATTACCCGAACGTCCTATACTAAACATGGAGTAGACCGAGCAGATTCGTTTATCAATCAAAGCACCAAATCAATTCGACCGTAAGAATTTAAAGAACTTTTCGAAAATGGTTATATATCTATAATTTCAACACATCTTTATGGTAATTATTTACAAAAAAAAGAATTGTCTTGACTGAGGCTGGATCTGGACAGAAAATGTAAGTTTCTTAAAATAATTTTTTTAGCAATGCTGGTAAAGTTGCTTTCAGTACCTAGAAGTACGAGGTATCAGTATCAAGGTTCTTAATCAAGGTCTGGCTCAGACACATTTTCTTACATTCACACGCATATTTACATATGTTCTCTCACACGCATACTTTCTAGCTCATTCGCTATTTATTAATTCATAAATACATACTCGCCCACCAACACTTTTACTCACGTGCCTACTTTCACTCTGTATAAATAAACCAAAGAAGAATGCACTTTATTTGTTTGTACAATTCTCCACAGAGAAGTTTCGAATACAAATATTTTTTATTCTTTTTTAAAAGATATTATACCATTTTGATATTGTAGCATATTATCAAAAAATATTACTCATAAAAATACTTATTTATCAAATTAATCAACGAACGTTTTGTAATAATTTCTTAACTCATCGCGAGAATAAAATTAATTTAGATTCAGATATCACAATAATATTTGAAATTAAAGCACCTATGTAGCAATGCTCAATAACTCTTCTTCAAGAAAACAAGTTAAATTCTCATCAATAGTATGAGAAATAAGAAACAAGAAACGTGCACTCTACGGAACCACTTCATCACGAGCAACAACACATTAAAAAGGAAAAAGAAAAGCAAAACAACGCGTCCTTTTTGCCATCATACCATTCCGTGTTACAATGCGACTTCGACGTAGCTTGACAGCGCTACGTGCCGTACATCTTACCTTCCTTGGCGGAAATGACCGAAAAAGCAAAACAAAGGAAACCGCCCAGAGCAGTGTATCAAAACACAACTCTTCCAGAACGTACACAATGGCACACGATATTTTTAGCAGAAAAAACATCTCTTCTTTGCTGCAAGAGAGCCACGCGCTACTACAACGCCGCGCCGAGCTCTGTGCGTGTTCTCGGTGTCGCCAGCAGCGTGCCCATGTGTTATGATAAAAAGAGGCACAAAAAAATGACAAACACCCGGGATCCCTGTTCGGGATACGAACTTTGCTGTTGTTCTAGACTTGTATGAAAGTTTGCGAGGTACACTTTTGTCACTCTTTCAACTTCATAAATTCCGTAAATTGTGTTCAAACTACCAAATTACAAATATTGTTAATAAGTTGGCAATTTGTAACAGTTATTTTCAAGAGTTCACAAAATTCATTTACCGAAATAACATATTCTATACTCATCATAAAACATACAAAAAGCTCAATACTCTCGCTAAACATAAACATTCTCATCGACTTTACCACTTTGTATTTTTAATAATAATTTCATTACAATTTTGCTTTCAAAAACATGGACGTCCCATCGGTATCATCCATAATGAAAGTAATTTTTTTACAGGTATTACATTCTTCAAAAAGTGGATACGAGTTAATCCAATAAATTAATGATAAATTTATAAATCACTATAATTGAAATATTTTTGAAGATGATAAAAAATAATGTGGCTCCCATAATTTATTAGTATCTTTATTAACTTTTTAAAATGTTTATATAGCCATCAAGTTAACCAGAATGAATAGGAACGATTTCTATATATTGCGTAAGATCTAATTTTTTTATTAATATGTGTGAAGAATGGAAATGTATTCTGGTGTTCAATATATTTACAATACATAAATGTCCTGTCCAGGAAAATACATTTTCATGCATTTCAACTCTGTGGCTTTAAATAATTCCCAATTAAATTTAATTATTTTAATTCAACACGTAGTAATCTCAGTAAGGAGCAAGATCAGGGAATGAGAGCATATGATGTTGTAGATCTGCGAGGGCCTCAAGGATTCGGACGAGTGGAAGGTTGTTCAGCCCAACCCTAAGGCCATGGGACCGTACGCCTACAGGGGCAACCAGTGGGTGGGTTACGACGACATGGACATTGTAAAACGCAAGGTAAGCAAAAAATAAATATACAAATAATTAAAAGTACAAAACTGACACTTAAATATAATTTATTAAACTAATACTATACTATCTAAGTGACTCGTCAAATTACTAAGAATGCCATAAACACAACTTGGGTGAACGTTAAGGCAAAAGTAACGAATTATTTGTCTCTGCCATGATCATTTACAAAATTAACTCTTCTATGCAAAACCATGAGCGAAAAATGTGCTGTAAGTACATTTCTGTAAACAATTGAACGACAAAGATAATGATTTCTACTCATTGCATATTATGCATTCTTTGTAAAAATAAAAATAGAATCCACAAAGATATATTCACAAATCCCCATTCATTGCACAAAAATATTCAAAAATTCAAGAGAAAAACATAGTTCACACAGCATCAAACACCACTTAACAATTGTTTAAACACGTAATAAAAGTCTTCGGAACCGAGTACGCCGTGTTTCTCACGTACCTGTTGGCGGCTCGTGTGACAGGCGCAGTACGTGAGCGAGCACAGCCTGGGTGGCATCATGTTCTGGTCCATCGACAACGACGACTTCCGAGGCGGCTGCCACGGGAAGCCCTACCCCATCATCGAGGCGGCCAAGGAGGCGCTGCTCACCGCCGCCGCCAGCAGGTGGGCGCCTTCGCCTCCCCTCTCCTCACCCCCGCACCGCGACCACCTCGTGCAGATCACGCGGCTTCTAGAATCACTTAGCTCTACCACTGGCCGTATCTCGATCGTACAGTGTGATTCATTGCAAAACATTACTTCACGATGGGGTCCATAATTGGACATACAATACAAGCGTGTTTATTGGATGAATTCATGAGATATACACGTACATGAGTATTTATTGGATAATATGTTTTCATCTGCCTAAAATAGTTCTTAATATTGCAATTGGTAAAAAAGCAACGTACGCTAAGTATAATACTCAAATGCCATATTGATTGGAATTCCACTAGTTGGACAGAAAAACTCACGAAAAAAATGCAATTTGCAGAATTCTTTCGAAGATTCCTAGTCGTAAATCTTTTTAAGAATCATCAATAGTACCAACATTTCCTTGAAATTGCATTTCTTATGAAATGTATACTAGGACATACAATATTTAGTTCTAAACATTTTCTGAGAGTACAGCTATTATGAAAAGGCGGGTCCCATGCAGTGTGAGTCTTTTTTTCCTTTCCTCTTCAACGGATTTTATCCCTCTGATCGCGAATTTGCACAGCACGAATCTATCACCCCTGTTCTACAGCTACTGAATTGATGTGTTTGAGCTGGAACTTGAGAGCGTGTGTGTCGCTTCCTGCAGGGCGTCGAACGAAGTGGAGCCGAGCCCGCCCTCGCGGAAGGGCAGCCCCCCCAACAGCGGCGGGCGGCGGCCGAACAGCGGCGGGCGGCGGCCGGGCACCAAGGGCGGCAAGGGCTCCAAGCGCAACCGCCCGCGCAACCGCACCTCCACCACCTCCACCTCCACCTCCACCTCCACTACCACCACCACCACCACGACCACCAGCAGCACGGCGCGCCCGCCCCGCACGCCCTACACCACGCCCTCCTACACCACCCCCGAGCCGCCCACCACGCCGGACCCCGGCAGCGGTGCGTACCACCTCGCTCACTCATTCACTCACTCACTCACTCTTGCATTATGTCATTCACTTCTTCATTAATTATTTCATTCATTCGTTAAATAATTTATTACTTTACTTATTCATTCTGTCACTACTTACTTCTCTCACTCCTTTCTTTTCTCACGCCTATTCTTTCATTCGCCCATTCTTTCATATATTCATTCACGCATTCTTTCATTCCCTCTCTCATTCTTTATCTCTATCATTCACTATCTCACTCACTCGCTCATTCATTCTTTCATTCACAATTCTCAATCTTTCGTACATTCATTCACCCATTCTTACATTCACTCATTCATTCTCTCTCAGTCATTATTTCACTCATCCTGTCACTCATTCGTTCTCTTAGTCATTCACTCTCATTAATTCATTCTCTCTCATATCCAGTCTTTTGATTTTCTTCCATACTAATGTCTTCATGTATTTTTTTTATTGCAGACTTCAAGTGTAAAGACGAGGGCTTCTTCCCCCACCCACGTGACTGCAAGAAATATTTCTGGTGTCTTGATTCAGGACCGTCAAATCTTGGAATCGTGGCGCATCAGTTTACTTGTCCTTCTGGTCTGTATATTAAAAGACAAGTTTAAGTACAATTTTAATCACTTGATTATACAATATTTTATAAAATATATAATTACGCTTGTACTATACATACTACATTTGATTCACATAATAACACTAGATACACTACTAGGATAATACGTACATGTTGATTCTGGCTTCATAAACTCGGCGATGGGAACGTGCAAAATCCTGAAGTCAGGGGGAACGTTGGGTCTCAGAGACCCGCTAGTTATTAGAGCCTATTTAAAGAATTAATTAATTACACAAATAGTTTATTATGAAGTAAAAGATGAAAATAAATCATAGATCCAACATCAAGCACAAAATATTTCCCAATTTCTTAAATGTCTCGAATGACGAAATGACGAAAAACAAAATTGAAAGTGAACGAAGATGAAAGAAAAGAAATTGTAGCATTAAGTCAATGAACACAATATTAAAAAAGTATGCTAGAAAAATATGTATCTACATGAGTATAACAAGCATACTGGAAGCATTTTTTACAGTAATGTTTTGTATAATGTGCTACATGTTTTATGCAAGCACTTTTTTCGAAATTTTTTTTCGACCTTTTTGTTCTCTTAACCTTCCCGAGAAAGTGTTTTGTGACCTACGAAAATTTAAAATAATTTGCATTTATAAATCCCAAAATATTGAATTTATTTATAACAATTAGACTGCAAATAGATGAATAAATAAATATATTACAAATAATTCAGGTTTAATTTCTTGATTCTCAGGTTCAGCTTCTTCAATTTCTTGTTCAGAATCTGTACAGTGCGAACATTTTAGTTCAAATAATGTATCAGCAACTTCATCTTAATAAACATTCTTTTTTAAAAGCTAATTTATAAATTCTATATTATTCGGATTTAATGCATTAAAATAACTTTTGGATGAGCCGGCCATGTTGTAAAAAAGTCACGTAAATGGGAATGTTGGGTCTGATGGACCCAGCAAAAACTTTAAGTGGGAATAGCACATCACATTTTTCTGATAAACTCAAACTAATGGTCATCATCTGTTCAAGAAGATTCAATTTGAAGGTAGAGGGGTGGATAAGTCAAGAAATAATTTCGTTCTGTTGATAGACGGCTTCTAAGATGTCGCTGGGTCTAAGAGACCCAACGTTCCCACTGCCGGGTTAAGAGATATTAATGGATGGCCACCGATATAATAATAAACGATAGTATTTTTATGTTAGTTAATTATTAATTTCAATTAAAAAACGTTATTGACTTACAGCAAAACGCATTTAATTAAATTTAAGAATTAACACGAAAAATAGAATTTTTTCTCTGATAATAATGCGGTAAATAGATGAAGTTTGTAGGTGACTTTATGTAAAAATATAATTTTTGCTCTGATAATAATGTGGTAAATCGATGAAGTTCTTATGTGACTTTATGTAAATTGTAACCAAGACATTTTATACTCGTATAAAAGATACTGTTAGTAAATTTTAAATGATGTATATCCCTACTTTGTTGGGGTCGAGGGAAACCAGTGTGTGTGGGCCGTCAACAGCATGCT